GCTGTGCTTGCATTGCATGCATTCTTGCCTACTGTACTTCTTCCGTCCGGGTTTATTGGCTAACAAATGACCTTCGTATTATGTGTAAAACTTTGACCGTAGATTTGGCTAACAAATTATAACTTGTATGTCACAAAACTTATATTGTTGGATTCATATTTGAAAGAGATTTTCAATAATGTTATTTTTAAGGTATATAACTTGTTTTTTGATAGTTAAATCAGAGGTTAAATTTTGATTCAAACTAGAGGAGGACTAATAAACCAGGACAGAGTTAGTAGGTTGAGTTGAAGCTCAAGGAAGCAATGGACTGACTCGTCAAGCGTAACTCAACCCGATTACTCGAACGTACTACTACTGCCAGGCGCGAGGGCCAGGCGGCATATGCACCAATAATGAGGGCCATCTAGGGTTAGTTATTTTTATACGGGGATTAGGCACCCACCAATCATGAGCTATAAAGCACAGTGGACTCTGCAGCTTTCCACATAGGAAAGGAGGCAAATTTACTGTGAGCTGGGGGGACACTTGTCAAATGTCTCTAGTCTATATAGACTTAGCCCGCAGGTGTTGCTGCAGAGAAGAGAAAAAGCACCGTGCCTTTAATGGATTCCAACTCCCTTCTCAACCATCAGATTCCTTTACACATAATTTGTGCCTCGATCGCCAGTCACCACCCTCCTTTTGATCTACCTAAAAAAGGCATATTAGTAGTAGTAGGGCAGTATCACTCAAACATAAATTGCTCCTTTTTCTCGACTCCCTTTGTTCTCGTCTGTGATCTTGCTTTCAACCCTTTTTCTTGCCAACAAGATCTTACTTCCACACTCCAACTCCATTGTGGAATTGAAACGTTGCAAAAGGATACTAGTAGCAACACAAACAACACATGTAAATTAACCTCCGAAGTGTGGAAATTAATAATTATTCCCTCTGTAATAGTGATCTAAACGCACTTACTCAACTCCACTATAGTTTTTTTTTTTTGCATGGAACTCCGCTACAGTTGACAAGCTCACTCAACTACCGAAGCAGTCCATGTAATTAACCAGCTGGCGTAGGCGTAGTGCAACAATATATACTGAAGCTTGTGAAACTATATAGCGTGCTGGTGCCCATGATATGAAGTGTACTACAAGATTGTTTAATTAGGCGAATAGCAGCAGGCAGGCAGGTACTACCGGGTAGAGATCTCTCCTCTCCACCTGGGAGCCATGTGGGGCTCGCCGATGTCCCTCCGTTCAAGGGCAGCAGCCAGCTTTCTCCTCCAAGGCCTTTGGCGCGCGTAAAATATACGTCCACGCAAAGCAGCTTGGATCCGTATAAACTAGCATTGTTTCCCTGCACCCTATAATGGTTGCATCCCGTATTCTATTGGCGCCGATCCTCCCTCTTGTTAACTTAGCCGTGGGGTTTTGGGCTAAATGGGGGATCTCAATGTGTTTATGTGGGTTTAGTAGTGGCATGTTGGCTTGGGTTGTAGTGTAGGAACATAGGAAACAGCGTGGGCAGTTAGCTGTATACCTCGTGATCAGTCGTGGATCGATCATCATGCATGCGCGCAGGGACCTGAGATTAGTCGCTCTTTGGGCATTTTCTGTTACTCCCACCGCTTGCATTTTCTTCTTCTTTTTTGCTATATAGGTAGCTTTTTTTGGACATCA